TCTAATTTCACCCCTTGACTTTATTTATTTTATTCTTTCAGGTTGGCTTTTTTCATTTTTTATTTCTCATACCTGCATCCTTTACATCCTTGCCTCCTCATAGTTTCACAATGAAAAACTGCACTCGGACGCAAGTCTGATGTGTAGCTATAGCACAGCGGTCAATCCAGTGAGCGACCCCTGTGAATCATAAAGCAAGAAAGCAGATGCTGATTTAATCCTCCATGTAGCTGAAAATCAAAGGTTACACGGAGGCATTAAATCAAATTGGTACATTTAGTAGCTGACATCTAATATAATGGTTAGGAAGGGATGACAGAGCAGACACTTCAACCTACCAGAAATCATTCATCATTCAGGTCACACTCTGTACTGTGTTTATAACTGTCTTTATAAGCAAGTTTAAAGCTGTCACCAGGCACAAAAACTTTCATTTACATTAATATTCTTTAATAACAACAAAAGATATAAATCAATGTTGTGTGCTTCAAATGCTTTTACAAACTCAGTTATTATTTTGTAAAAGTATCAGTGATTTCATGACTGTGCTGCACATAGCCTATGAAGAGCTATGGGAGGAACCCAACAGGCCCCACCCACTACAGACTGCCTGCAGAAAACTAAAGGAGGGAAGGCCACCCACCAGGAGAAAGAGCAGCAGTGACTGGTCTTTATTACAGGAAGCTCCTGCACAGAGGTAAAGTTTCACACTGTACAGATCTGGAAGAGTTACGCTGATCACACCAAGATTCAAGTAAGAATGCACATGCTTCTGGTACATAGGCAGTATTAGCTCACCCAGAGTTCAGTTCTGAATAACATTTACACATTAATATGTGAAATTGGTTCCAGAAAGGGGCATAGCACTTCTTAGTTTTAGGTAAGGTGGAGAAAGATTTGAGACTGTGTCATTCATTCTGTGTCTTCAAGGGGGAAATTACCCCTCACTGCCTGTCATGTGATCACAGAAAAATGTGGAGGAAACTGCCCCTGGTGGACTCAGACCACAATAAAAACTGACAGAGATTCTTACTTTCTCTTCTAAGTACTGAGAAAAGTCCTTGTATTGCTGTGTCTCCACTGGAGAAATTTGGTTCACATTCACCACTGACACAAAGCTCTCCAATGGAGACATGAGCAGTGGAAAAAAGAACTAATAAGAGTTGTAACCCTTTTTCCCTCAATCCATAACTCATAAAAAGGTTTTGGCTGACCTTGGGCTTTACATTTTAGTTCTGTAAATCACAGCACTCCTGCACAGACAGTTTTTTTACCTTAATGCGTTATCTGTCCCCCAGCCCCCCCCCCCCCCCAACTGTCGACTAAAGCAGCCTTTCTCAACCAGGGTGCCAGCACCCTGGGGGTGTCTTGAGGTTTCTTCATGGGTGCTTTGCCAAAATGTCTAAAAATTGCCCAAAACTTGTATACAAGCCTGCAGGTGGAACACGCCTGCCTATTAGTTACACAAAGCCACAGGTTTTCTTTGTGCACTATTATGACCTGCTAGCCGCTGGCGTCCTGACAACCAATGACATCATCAGTTGATAAGGAGGATGACAGCTGCCTGCACAGCATCCTAGTTTGACCCTCCCCTGCCCATTCCCATCAGTGCTGGGGTCACATTAGCTCAGTGATGGAGAAAAAACTGAGGGAGAAGAGAAACATTGGAATACTACTCAGTACAAGTGTGCAAAAGTGTATTTGCTTTGGAAGAATAAATCACCTCTAATGTTGGGTGTCCTACATGTGTGGATGTTGCGATGTTATATAAAACTATTAGAATAGTTTTTCACATATTAGAATGGGGTGCCCTTTTAAAATTATGGACAGTCTAGAGGCACTTCATTTTAGAATGGGGTGCCTCAAAACTGTCCATAATTTTAAAGGATGCCTCGGGACTGTAAATAATTTTAAAGGGTGCCTTGACTGAAAAAAGGTTGAGAAGCACTAGACTAGAGTCTCCCTTCTCATACTTACCTACATCGATCCAGTGCTGTGCCCATTTGCAGCAGCACTGGTCTCTCCCCCTGCTCTCATAGGACAGACTGATAGCACTGGAAGCCATTGGCATCTGCTACTGTCAATCATATCCAATGAGGAGGGAGCAGAGGGCTTGACAGAGCTATTCTGTGTGTCCATATAGTGGGAGAACCCGCACATGCTATGGGGGCACATTCAGGAGAGGAGGACTGGACAGCACCAGTAGGGGACTCCGAAAAAGAGGTAAGGGGCCGCTCTGTGCAATATCCTTGCACAGAGCAGGTAAGTATAAACCTCTTTTTTAATTTTAGGTTAAAAAAGAAAATTATCACTTTACGTCACATCAGCTTTAAGGTTTACTTAAAGTGGAAATACACTGCTTCTGAGCACCACAAGCCAAAAATGCTATTTATTTCATTGTCAATATTCAAAGCAACCTCCCCAATTCATCCATGTCTCCATGTTTTATTTTGCTTAGAAACCATTTTGAAAAACACCCCCTGGAATTTCTGGCAGAGGTCATCTTGAGTAAGGGCAGATGATTCATGTAACACTTACTTCCTGGAATCCATCTGTCCTTTAGCTCAGGCATTGGCTGAGCTGAGAACCCTCCCTCCCCTCCTGAAGACTGCTGGGATGTATGACATCATTTGCCTAGGCATGGAAAAAGTGTTACAAGTCTGCCTTGAAAAATGTAAAACAAGTAAATATGATATAATTTCCTATCTATTTACTAATGGTAGCACCATGAGGATTACAAATAGCCAATGTTGATTGAGAAAGTGAAGTTCTACTTTAAGTAAACCTTACTCCAGTTTTACCTTTTAAAATTAAAAATTAAAATTCTTGCTTAGGGTCTAACACCACAAATGTCTGATATTACAATTATATTAGCCAGAAAAACTCTCCCTTACCCCCTTTTCTACTAACTTTTCCTGACTTCGTGGGTAATTTTTGCCAGCTGCCTACCTATTGTCCTGTTGTACTGATTCAATAGTCAGCAAGGGCTGGATATCAGGATGGCAGTGGCTCAGGCTTAACAATGAAGTAAGGAATTACTTAGATTTAGTCAAACTAAATCAAACAGACACACAATAGAAGCTCTTCTGGTTAAGCAACATAAAAGCTGACCATAGACAATTCCAGTCGGCTGACCAAAAAAAAATTAATGGATTCCCCCTTTCACACATTCATCCTCCCCATTGTATTCTGACAGCGGGACCCCTCTGCTGCCAGCATACATTGATCATCGTTGCAACCAGTTGGCTGCATACCCTGATTGAACACAAATTGTTCAACAGCCCTGTTCAATCGCTGTTGATTGCTAGGTAGACTACTCTTAAATGGGAATGGCCATTGGTTTATTGAAATTTGTCCAGTCCCTGCTGATCCAGGTGAAATTTGATCCAACTATGGTCGTCTTAAGTCTTTTACTTTTGAAAGATTATAATTTATTTCAGGTTCATTTTAGTCCAGCTCAGGCAGTCTATGGAAATACTATTTAGAGGGTTGGCTGAACTTATTGACATAGTCCTCCAATCAACTTCTACTGCATGTTGTTCAGCAGTAAATTTCAGAGCATGTTGTGATGCCTACAGGGTCAGTGTTCACTATAAACCATTTGAAGAGTGAGGATCAATTAAGTGATTTGGTAAATGGTTCTGGGGCCACAATGATCAGAATTTCAAACTTTTTATTTGAATAGGATAATTAAAAAGTAGGGATGCACTGATACCAATACTGTTCTGGTATCAGTGCTGATACCAAGTCTTTTCATACTTGTACTTGTGAAAAGGCTCCTGATACCTGAAACCGATACTTTATGGTGCGATTTTCATAAATACAAAATGTCTGGATGCAAATTGCACCGAAAAGAAAATCATGGAATTTGAACAGGAATGCAATTCCTCTCCAAATCACTTTCATTTTCCTCACTGTTCCAGTGTGAACCCAGGCGTGTCAGAACCTGGGTGTCAAAAGCTGGGGATTTCTGTCCTCTCAGTGCAGGGATGACAGTATGAGCTAGACGGCTTTTGTTTGGTCAGCACTGCCACAGTGCTGACCAATCAGAAGCTGTCTAGCCCCTACTGTCATCGCTGCAAGGAGAGGAGAGAAAACTGCGGGGATTTCAAATCCCTAGACCTGTGAAGCGACTTTCTCTGCTCTCCTTGCAGGGATGACAGCTTTTCCTTCTGTGACAGCATGGGATCTGTGCAGGGAGGTTTCCCACACTGCTCCTGTGTGAACTCAGACTATGACAAGCCTGGGTTCACACAGGAGCAGTGAGGAAACTGCATGCGATTTGGACAGGAATTGCAATGCCAGCGGTAGGCAGTAGAGAGTGGGGGAGAAGCGCACCAAATCTCCTGCTTTCAATTTTGGTGGTCTTTCAAGAAGTGCTCCAAACTTGCAGGATATAATAGAAGTGTGCTTCCCTGGTTTCAGGTACAGGGCCATATCAGAGGGCTTCTACGGCCACATGTGGCCTGGGGGGCACAGGTTTAGCACCCCTGCTATAAACTGTGCCTGACTGTGCTACTGTTGTTTGTAGCTTTCTTTGAACCCTACAGGCATAACAATTTCCATGAACAACTATGTTGAACATTACTAAAGTGAAAACTAACCACGGCACGGGTCCTTCACTTCTTTAGACCTCAGTAGAGGTTTTGCTTATATCCTGTTGTTATTTGGCCTACCTATTTTTAAAATAAAAAATATGATTTTAATTTCCATTTACTTGGGTAACATATTTAGAAAACAAATGCCAATTTGATTGAAAAAAATATATAAACTTTAGCAGTACAAGATAAAACAAGAAACAGAATACAAACATTTAAGATAATTGGAGTAAAAACTTGCAATGTTTGGGACTGGCAATCCTGGATTGGAGACCTTATATATGTTCTTCTTTCTGACCCATGATGGCTGATCTCTGGTGTTGGAGGTCTGGTTGTGTCAGTCTCATGTTGGTACATTTCTAGGCATCCACTGCTCCCCTTACCAAAAATATCAATTTATAGGTTCCGTAAACCCTACAAAGTGCGGCTGCCCTTTTGCTCTGAAGATGTCTGCATGTCAGTTGCTCCTGGAGATCACCACTTTCTTAAGGGAAACATTCCCATGCCTGCCCAGGCCTAGGGCTGAGCCTCTTGTGGTATGTCAAATGCAACAATATATTATCATTTGATTTTGTTTTTTGTTTTTTTCTGAAGCTTTATATCGATAATGGTAGGTCATTGGGAATACATCAAATTCAAATGTTCAATTTCAAACGTTCTTCATGTTGCATATCCTGAGGTTAAATATGATCTAGCAATAATGTAATGCAAGAACTGTTGTTAAGTAAATGATACAACCATGTTCTGGACCATTTAATGATACAAACTAAAGGGAGGAGAAAACTAAACAAATATATATTCCATATTTGGAAATTAAATATATATTTAATATTGTTTAAAATACAAAAAAAACCCAGACAAATAGCTAAATGCAGATTTAAAATACACCTACTGTATACAGTCAGGTCCATAAATATTGGGACATCGACACAATTCTAACATTTTTGGCTCTATACACCACCACAATAGATTTGAAATGAAATTAACAAGATGTGCTTTAACTGCAGACTGTCAGCTTTAATTTGAGGGTATTTACATCCAGATCAGGTGAACGGTGTAGGAATTACAACAGTTTGCATATGTGCCTCCCACTTGTTAAGGGACCAAAAGTAATGGGACAATTGGCTTCTCAGCTGTTCCATGGCCAGGTGTGTGTTATTCCCTCATTATCCCAATTACAATGAGCAGATAAAAGATCCAGAGTTCATTTCAAGTGTGCTATTTGCATTTGGAATCTGTTGCTGTCAACTCTCAAGATGAGATCCAAAGAACTGTCACTATCAGTGAAGCAAGCCATCATTAGGCTGAAAAAACAAAACAAACCCATCAGAGAGATAGCAAAAACATTAGGCGTGGCCAAAACAACTGTTTGGAACATTCTTAAAAAGAAGAAACGCACCGGTGAGCTCAGCAACACCAAAAGACCCGGAAGACCACGGAAAACAACTGTGGTGGATGACCGAAAGAATTCTTTCCCTGGTGAAGAAAACAGCCTTCACAACAGTTGGGCAGATCAAGAACACTCTCCAGGAGGTAGGTGTATGTGTGTCAAAGTCAACAATCAAGAGAAGACTTCACCAGAGTGAATACAGAGGGTTCACCACAAGATGGAAACCAGGAAGGCCAGATTAGAGTTTGCCAAACGACATCTAAAAAAGCCTTCACAGTTCTGGAACAACATCCTATGGACAGATGAGACCGAGATCAACTAGTACCACAGTGATGGGAAGAGAAGAGTATGGAGAAGGAAAGGAACTGCTCATGATCCTAAGCATACCACCTCATCAGTGAAGCATGGTGGTGGTAGTGTCATGGTGTGGGCATGTATGGCTGCCAATGGAACTGCTTCTCTTGTATTTATTGATGATGTGACTGCTGACAAAAGCAGCAGGATGAATTCTGAAGTGTTTCGGGAATATTATCTGCTCATATTCAGCCAAATGCTTCACAACTCATTGGACGCTGCTTCACAGTGCAGATGGACAATGACCCAAAGCACACTGCAAAAGCAACCAAAGTGTTTTTTAAGGGAAAGAAGTGGAATGTTATGCAATGGCCAAGTCAATCACCTGACCTGAATCCGATTGAGCATGCATTTCACTTGCTGAAGACAAAACTGAAGGGAAATGCCCCAAGAACAAGCAGGAACTGAAGACAGTTGCAGTAGAGGCCTGGCAGAACATCACCAGGGATGAAACCCAGTGTCTGGTGATGTCTATGCGTTCCACACTTCAGGCTGTAATTGACTGCAAAGGATTTGCAACCAAGTATTAAAAGTGAAAGTTTGATTTATGATTATTATTCTGTCCCATTACTTTTGGTCCCTTAACAAGTGGGAGGCACATATGCAAACTGTTGTAATTCCTGCACCGTTCACCTGATTTGGATTTAAATACCCTCAAATTAAAGCTGACAGTCTGCAGTTAAAGCACATCTTGTTCGTTTCATTTCAAATCCATTGTGGTGGTGTATAGAGCCAAACATGTTAGAATTGTGTCGATGTCCCAATATTTATGGACCTGACTGTATAAACTGTTTATTTGCAGAAGAATTTTAATTCTGTTCATTCGGTAATAGGATTTATACAGTTTTTGCACACTGCGTACCACATTTACCTTTTTCATCACACTGGTAATATATTGTCCTGTGAGCAGGTAGGTGGCACAGGAAGCCCCAAAACCTCAATGAGAAATTATGTCAGGTGCCTCAGCATGCAGCATAGCAAGGGTTTGTGAAATACCAGACAGTATGAACAAAGTTACACTTTCTTTGGCAAAGAGTTCACAAATACGTACTGTATTTTAACTGTGTAAGCTTTTTGCCTGAGTTTCCTTTTACTGTGTATTACAGAAGAGCTTTAAAAGACTCCATTCCTAGTGATAGTTAACATATATTTTGGTAAAGAGGTCCTTCAGTTAAAATGATCATTCAGTTAAAGTTGTAATCGGGTAAATGAGCAATTAAAAAAAGGTTAAATTGCCCCTTAATTAAGTCTCAGGGCACTGTATTGCCTTTTGATACTAAAAAGTGATTTCTGAACTCAGGTTACTTATCAATGTTCCTGCTGCCTATCAAAAAATGACATCCAACTAAAGGCGTTCTTGTGTGATAGCATAGATTAGTGTTTGTGTGTTAAAGAATGATCCCTGGGTGGTTGGATTATTCTACACAATGCCCCAAATAATATTTTTATATTTACTCTTAGCCGCAACTATGAAAAAAATGCATTCATTAAAGCTAAGCAAAGGCAGACTTGTAACTCTGTTTATGACCCTGTATAAGGATCTGGAGACTTGTCGACTTCGTCTGGATCCAGAGATGGACCGGCACAGATACGAAAGGAAAATAAGTTTTGCTGGAATCCTTGATGAGAATGAAGATTCTAAAGACTCTCTGCACAGTAGCAGCCACACCTTGAAGTCAGACACAGGATGTGAAGAAAAGAAAGGTATGGGATAAAAGCAACTAGTCTAACATAAATATAATTACACAATCTTTATTGGCTTCTTTAGTGTGATTTTGTTTTGCTTGTGAATGATATAATAATTTAAAGAACACCTTGCAGATCTGTCAAAGCAGGAAGAGACTGCCAAATGTCCATAGTTGTTGATTTGGATTTTATTTAAAGTATATGTTTAAATATCAGGATTTCATTATTTCTATATATATTAATGTGGTTGATTAAAGGCAAACAGGGTGTTCATTTTGCAAGTGAATTTCACCTTAGCTTAGAGAATGAGGTGAAGCTCTGCTGACTTCTTTCATTAAATCATTTGTAAACAAATAAACTGGGTTTTTTTTTAATTTCCCTTGCACTTGATTAGGTATTCTTTGCAAAGTAAATGTAACCACATTCACTAAGCTAAGGGAAAATTCCATTGCAAAGTGCAAATTTCCTTTGAAAGTGAACAACCCATTTGCATTTAGTAAACAATGTCTTTAACCAGTAAATAAAATAAATATATGTGAGCGCACACAAAGAATAAAGCAGCTGTGCACCAGGTAACCATAAAAAACCTCTAAACAGACAATGTAAATAAGGAGTGCAGTGCTAAAAGGAAATCACAATATGAGTATTCAAATGTATATACACCATTAAATATACAGTGACATAGTTTTTATGACTTCCTGTCATAAAAACTATGAAATTCAATCAGGAGGAGTGACATCACAGGCACAGAAACCTGCTGTATATAGCTAAAGGAGGGAAAAACTGGCACGCTAGGAGCAGCTGGTGATCAAGACCATATGAGGGAGTCTACCGGATTCTAGATACTTTCCAGATTGGCAGATGACATCAGGAAATATACACAAACGCTCATTTAATTGCGCGTTCTGGTGAGTGCACATTCTTTTCGCACTTAATATCACAGCACCTTACCCATAGGAGGATGCAGTTGCATTGGAGCACCTCAAGTCACTTCAAGTCACCTAATGAACTGTATATTTAATGGTGTATATACATTTGAATACTCATATTGTGATTTTCTTTTAGCGCTGCACTCCTTATTTACACTGTCTCTAACCACCCTGCCTTATTCCAGGCCATGAACATGTTACGTAATGTACAAAATATTCTGCCTTAAAGTGTTACTAAACCCACAACAGTAAAAATCAGTCTGCATATGCCGTAAAGCATACTTGTTATACTCACTGTGAACCTAAGGGGTTAATCCTCTGCATTGTGTAAAAAGGCGATTTGATCCCGTCTTCTCTGTTTTTCCTCTTGTTCAAATGTCTATGTCTTATCTCCTGATAAGACAGACTGAACCTGTAGCCAATCTGCACATGCTCAGTTTGGTGTGTATTGCTAGAGAGTTTTTTTTTTCTTGGGAGAGTGCATGTGATCAGCACAGGGCCAATTAGCACTGCCCAGACAGAGGTCAGGGGTTATGCATCCTCCTAGATCAGAAAGAAAACTAATCCTACAAACTTTAACCAGTTCTCTGCTGAACACTGATAGAAGTCACAAGCCTGCTCTAAGTGCTGATGAGAAAAGGTATTTAGCAGTTTATATTTACTAAAATAATTGCACTTCCATGTTCTGTGTACTGTGGGAGACCAGATATAGTAAATGCAGGGTCCTGGGTTTAGTAACACTTTAATTTTAAATACTGTTAATAATGTGAAAATGAACAATAACATAGTGAGGTCAGTAATGCGTAAATAACAAGACTTTTCTTCCCAATTTGATTTATATAAATAAATGATATGCAATAAACAGTGAGACATTGGTTTGCCACTATATGGTTAACTGCTTGGCACCAGCAAATATAGCGGCTGGGCCTTGAGAGGCTGCATATTTGCGTACCCGATGTAAACAAATGTGCCAAGAGCATGCATCCTACTTGTGATCAGGAGCTTCCTGATCATGTGACCGCTGTGACAGCCACTCATAGTAGTCACAGGACCCTAAATGTCGTCCCGCCTTCCAATGTCACAAACCTCTTACAGGGCCGTTAGGTGATGGCGCCAAGGGGTTAGTTTAGTTCATGTTGACTATCTTTGTTTTAACTCAGTGTTATGCAAAATAGCAGCTAGTAGAGCTGAAGAAACAGTCATTTACTAAACCAGTAACCATTTGTTTCAACATGACACTTAAGGAAACCTTGTCACCAAGTCTAACATTTATTTACATGCTTTTTTTAGTGATAGAAAATCTTTGAGTCCTAAATGTGTCTATAAAATGTGTTACTAACAAAATCTAAGATGGCAGCTTCCTTGGCTGTAAAAGACAAGAGGGTTTAGTTCCACTTTAAATTTGCAAGGGTTGTAAATAGAAAAGAGTGCATAAATGCATTTGGCTATACCATTGGCTTTGACAGATTCCTGAATAAGCTACACAAATGTACAGCCTATAATGCCATCTACTGTATATCATTTGAAGGTATTAAGTGCTAAAGGCATGGATTGGTGTTGACACCAAACTGTTAAAGTGGTCATTTGTAGCTGCTATGTAGCCTTATTTGCAGTTATTTAAGTTCAAAGTACTTGTCTCACTGAATATGTTCAAGGGGAATCACATTTACAAGATTGGACAGTTTAATGTTTTAAAATGATATAATGTTTTCTGCTATGCCAAAAGGCTTCTCACAAACTCCATTGCTTGTAAAATCGATTAACTTCATTTTCGACCTCTCTGGCCTCCTAATTTAATCTAGTTATATCAATTGTCTTAAGTCTTCAACAACCCATCTAACACGATCTGTTTATTGTTAATGGATTTGAATGCTAAGAATGAAAGACGCTAGAAATGTTTAACAGTGGAGGTCAGAGTACGTACAAATTATATATAAGTATGTTTTTGTGCCACTTTTTGTGAATTTTTAGGTGAGTGATGTCATTTTATTTTTTCTCCCGTGGTGCTGTCTTCAATCAAGCCCCATTTTTGAATTTTTTTCTTTTTAAAGTTTGTATATCATATTGCAGAATGTGTGATAGAGGCTGGCTCTGTAAACATTTTATATTGTACTGCTTTCATAGAGGAATGGATTTTGAATGCTTAAAATGCTTATAGAATGTGTAAGAATAGTAGGTCATTTTTAGAGTGATAAGCCTTCATTATCCCTTTCACTAATGAAAACATATAACCGTTTACTAAGCAGCTGACAATTACATGTAACGTTTATACAACATGACTTGGCATCCTTTCATCAAATTCCTTTACTCGATTAATTTTAAAATTGTATAACTTGTATGCCTTTATTGAGTCATAGCTTATTTAAGTTGGTCCAACAATACTATGGATTAATACACTTGTAAGGACCTACTAACCTTCAAAGATGTTTCTAACTATTTACAGACTTTGACAGAAATTAAGATATTTCATATTTTATATAAGGATAGTACAAAAAAGGCAATGGCAGTTTCTGATTATTTTTAACCAGGGACCTTTCATACTAGCTAACTGCAAAGTCTCCTTGCTTTGTAGTCCTGAGCTTAAATCCTACCTAGGACACTGTCTTCTTAGACATGTATGTGTTCCTTGTCTACTTGGGTTTCTCACCACAATTCAGAATATATTGCTAAATGTATTGGCCAGGGTGTATGCAGGTATGGTGGGGGCATAAGGTTGAGGGTCCATTGAAAGCAGGACTGTGAATGGTTATTTTTATTGGTTAAATTTGGTGTACAATACATGTTATGAGTACAAAAATGCAAGATCCAACACTTTTGAAAATACTGGTTGCCTGGAAATGTTTTCTGAATCACAGACCTGGAGAATGAAAGCAATAGGGGATCCTGTATTCTTATGGCATGTCATTGACCCAAGAAAGCATTCTGGGTCAGCATGACAAATAGGAAACTAGTGTTTGCAGAAGAAGGTTCACAATAGGAACCCCATTTTTTATGTCAGGTTCCCTTTTTGTGCCTTGTAAGTAATATTTCAGGACTGTCTACATACAGGAAATAAAGTAATAAAGCATTATATTTTAATTCCAGTGAGTGCTTTTGTAGCTGGGGTCCCAAAATACACAAATTTGATAGAAGTAAAGTTGTACTGACGGCATAATGTAAGCTGTCATTGCTTGACCTTTATCTAAGAATGTGTGTTGTCTAACTGTCTCTGGCTTCAATGCTTTCCAAGACACTGACCTGGAGCAAACATGTAGATTGGGAAAGTGAGCGTGAAGTCAAAAGTCTTAATTTGTATGCTTGCCCCAATATAATGCAGAATGTACCGAAGCCTTTCAATTAGCCAAGGAACTAGTATTTTAAAAAAAATAGTGTTGCAGATTTTTTATTTACTCAGTACAGATTTCTTTTCAAATTAATGTGTGCTTTGCCCATGCAGGTTAATGGTAATGCCACCCTTCCCTTTCCTTGACTCCTGGCTGCTCAGTTCATACACCAGGAGAGAACACAGTCCTGTGTATGCTCTGAACATGAGAACAAACAATGTGCTGGCTTCGGATTTTGTAAAATTGTCATTGGGCACACTGGCACCGGTTGGGCAACACTCCACAAAATGGGGACTACCCTCAGGAACAGGAAAGGAGAATACACACAATCCAATGAGAGTACCAAACAAATGTCCAAAGGTCCAGGGTAATATAATTATAAAATTGATTCAAAGCAGAATAAATCCAATGATCAGGGGCCAAACACACCCCTCCCTTTCATCAGAGCTAAAAATGGTTGTAAACCAGTGAAATGAAAAAACATATCTCTCCGTAGTGTGTTGTAGCCTCAATCCAAAGCACTTTATTGTGGTTCCTTCCTGCTCTCTCTTCTTTTTGCTATCTCCATGAACCATGTTACTCTGACACTACAGAATCCTGGGGAATGGCACTTCCCCCGCCAGCACACACCAGCTGATTGACAGCTTAAGCTATGCATGTTTCCCAATAAGACTTTTGGGGGGGAGTCTATATCCTTTGCTCAGGTCACAGATTACACTCAGCTCCCTGTTCTGTGTTCTGCAGCAAGTGATGTCAGATCCCTGCC